CTTCAGGGAGGTTCTCGCGGAATGCGACCCAGACATTACAATGGCAAACGTGTGAAGGCGCTAAGAGGTTCCTTCACAGAGGCATAGAAGTAGCTTCATTAGCTGCAGTCGGTGACGACCCACAAAATCCGAAGGGTACACGCCCATAGATGTTACTTTATAGAGTAGTCGTACAGGGCTAGAAAATGTTTGATAGGTGTCTTCTGCCTAGGAAATCAGGTGAGCGAGAATCGCTTGTACCACTCATAACGTCATGAAGAACAAAAGTAACTTTGTAGATCTTGTTTTCAATCACTTGACCGACCAAGAGACTAGATTCTCAGTTCCTAAGGCCTACAAAAAATGTGATATCAAAACTGTCTCTTAGTACTGCTCATGTACATATGTTGAATAGCGTATAAAATTGCCCTAAACACTTTTCGAAAAACGAACGTTAACAAGAATAATAATCAAAGTACAATGTAGTGATAAACGTGGAACATGAAGCTTCTTTTAGTTACCTTGTATATTTAAAATATGTTCGGATATTTTTCAGCGTCGGCCGATGTGCATTAAGGCCACACGATGACCTGAGTCATAGCTAAGATTCAACGACACGTACTATGACAGCTCAAAACTCCAACTCACAAACTCACCTATCTACGTACCTTTATTCGAACAGATCTGGAGCCGAACCCAGTGAGCCTAGCTTCCAATTTGACACTATTAATGCAGTTAAAAGAAAATCAACCTTTTATATTTAAATAGGGTTTATAAGCTTGTATACTTATATGTTCTAATAGCATATAGTATCTGAATATATGTCTTTAGTAATAATAAAATGCTTACTTAGGCAAATAGTTGCTGTTTTATATCACTGGTTGCCGAAATAGTAATTTGCTGTCGAACCCATTTTTACCTTATTATAAACGTCAGTCCCATAAGCTCAAAGCTCATTCTCTGTTCGTACAGACTATCTAATTTTAGTGACAGCATTATAACAGGACACGATGCAGTAATAAAAAATAATTGGAAACTATCCAATATGAATGATCAAGTGTCCCGAAAAAGAAATCACTTATGTTAACCGTTGAACTACAACCAAAAAATATTCCCTTTCGCGATTGGAAGGCACAGCCTTTGACCTAATCCTCGCAAGGCATCGGAATTACGCCGGACGATGCAAATGACTATTGAGATGGCATCATTGCATGCCTGTTGATCGTCACAGAGGAGAACACGGCAGATTGCCCAGTGAAACCGTGTGAGAAGGAAATGGGCGTACACGGTCGGATAAACATATTATTCTACCGATACATGTTTACTTTACAAGCCGACCTGCTAGCGTAAATAAATTATATTGTGTTTTCAGCGTCCTCTACCATATTAGATCCTACCGCCAAAAAGAAGGAGTCCTAACGGAAATGCACAAATTCATTTGAAATTGGTCTGTCCAACGACGCGCGCAGACGGTGCCATTTTAACCGCGCAGGTATACTCCAGTTTCGGGAATGAAGCGTTTAGGCCATGAGCAAGGTTGGAATCGTTCATAAAATACCAAAGGAGAAATAGATACGCATATTTTGGGGGCCAATCAGCGCGGTTTCCAGGGTGAATAGCTAGTGATTACAGGGGTTCTCTGGCAACAACTGTCACCCATACTGAGCAGCACTCGAATGTGGAGAATCATATGCTTCTCAACATTGGCCCATTCTGGTCATCTTAATAAAAATTTCAATAATCGTACTACGCCATATTTAACGCCACCTTCATGGCCGTTACTTTGGGATATAGGAACGGCGAGCCGAAATGAAAGTCTGTAAGCTGCGATTCTTTGCGCACAACGCCATTTCCGTCTGCACTAGCCATTTGTTGTTTATCCAAATCTGATAGAGGATAACTAGCGCTGCAAAGTGCCCGACCGTTGTTAGCGGACGTTTTGGCGTTACATGAACTGACTACTAACTACTGCGAGCAGACGCTCTAAATTGCATGTTGTGTAGTACGTTGGCTTTGAGGGTTTTAAGCTATAGCCTTGGTATATTCTGTGCAGTGACGCCAGCAAAATAGATACTTTGCAACGATAGCTGCTATTCTTTAGCATTCGCTTAAGCTAGAATAACAGGTAGAAAAAACCTTGCGAATGTTGTCGACCCGCATGGCCAATTAATTAAATAACAGAAAGCGGGCAAAAAAGATGAAGCCAGAATGTCGTGGTGTCACACGAACAATACGAGGCAGTTTCCTTAGGACCAGCTAGAGGCAGCCGCACAGCGTTTTATGCATGACCTCATCATATCATAGCCGGCGACAACAAAGAGATTATTAACGAAACAAGACATTACCAAATAAGGACATTACCAAACAAGATAGGGCGGCTCGACGGAAGAACCTGGTCTGCCTAAATCGTTGAGAACGCCATTGTCACACGAACAACTGCGACGCACCGATCAATAGGAAGGCTCCTTCGCTTGAAGGTCATCGTCGCCAAAGCAAAACATGTAGTCGAAAGCAGCTAAGAAGAAAAGAATCCCTAGGCTTAAAGAAAAACATATACGAGCCACACACAAAGAGATACAGTTACATCGCAGCGTACACAGACCCACATTCGCAGCGTCACGCAAAAACTTGAAACGCTCGTACACGACACTCGGTGTTTAAGGGAGAAAACAAATCTACATCGGCCTTATACTATTGATCTTCTCACGGGCGGCCTCAAGGCATTATATCGGTATCGCCTTATACAAGCACACGAGAACGTCGAGTAATCAATATTACTTTGCAATATACAGACGGTAAGCTTTGGTGAAGGGAATAATAATTCGATACTATTGTGCAAAATGGTTTTCAATATTATCGTACTTCTAAGGTCCTTTAGTGTATCTCACAACTTTCAGCCTTGAATTCTCTTTGAACACGGTTATGGAAGCTTCTACTGTACTATCGAAGTTTTACAATGAATAGTAACTATATGGCGCACATTATATATAGAGGAAAAAAACATTCTTAATACAAAGCTGTGTCGCCAATGAACAAATCAACACAAAATATACATACAGTATGAAACTATATGATATTGAAGTGAAGAAGGGGGCACATGTCATAAAGGAGACTATCAGAGCCATAGCGCGGCTCATTGACACAGCACATAATGAACACTGATCGTTTAGCTTTGTTAATTACTCTATTTGTTTATATAATACTATAGAAACAGAGCTTTTTTTTTTTCGATAAACACTAGGTTCTAAACGCACACGTCGACTAGACACACATGTAGTGAATTTCCATGTTATTAATATGATTACATTGTCTCATTTTTTTAGTTTCAACTCACGATGGCTGTTTGAAGGAATCTTACTTGATTCAGGGATGCTTCGATATATTAACCAATCTATTTGCCATTTTTAAATGTATTGCTTTTGTACGTAACAAGCTTCTCTATACTTCTGAATATGGTCTAGGATGTAAGCACTTTCTTTACTCAACTTGTTTTTACTTTATTTAAAAAAAAAGCTGGCTAGCTCGCCGATGTGAACTTCTTAAATTAAAAAGTTTGGCGCCTAGACGTAGGCGAATCTGTACATCATATGATGTTTACTATATCCGTTAATGAGGCCGTCGGAGCAGCTTCAAAAGTATGTAGAGGATTGCTCAATGATGTTGAGCTGCTTATTTTTTGCTTGAATGAAAATAATTTTCTACAGCGAAATTTTAATTGTAGAAATGCAGCGTTTCACGTTCTCTGAGATTGGTGGTTCTTCGTAGATCGATATTAGATACGAAGTTATTAGATCACCTAGCTCGGACTATACTTTCCCTAAGCATTATCAGCGGTCTTCTTATCTGCTAAATTTTTGTATTCCCCGTTTTCGTTGTCCACTGAGGAAATGCGTCACATATCCGACTGAAGCACGGCAATCAAAAACATTGGATGCAGCCATAAAAATCCACAGATCTTGCAAGCTGCACTGCGAGGGGTCGACCATTTGACGGTACCCGACCGGACCGAAGCCCCTGGGCTGGTTATAATATATAGATTATGGCTTGTAACTCCTTTATGTCGCCACACTCGTCAAATGCCGATAAAATTGGATAACTTTACCGCTTGGATTCAAAGGGATGTGAAACATGTGTTGCTCTATCGTATATACCGGGAGCGGTGCTATACGATCGGGTGCTAGCTTACCTAATAGATAGTAAATGGACAATTAGAATCTGAGTTCATGGTTTGTCATTTTATCGAGGTCTGCTAGCTGACATAATCGATAATCGATGGTGGACATACGGGCCCGCAACTTGAGATTTGATTAGCTTCTTTAAATTCTAAGTTAACATTCGTTGCTCTCGTCTAGAAAGCATTCGATGCTGATCTGATAGTTGTAATTTTCTACATGTTATCTACGTACAGGTAAAAGTCGTCCTTACCATGGGAAAGATGGCCTGACACGAAGCAAATTGTTGCGGTTGAGTTAAAATTCAATTTTAATTTTCAGAGAAGAGAATCCGCCAGCTTGCCACCGCTTACCCCCTTATGGCCCCACACTTCTTAATCTTCGCGCACGAGAGAATTTACACCGAATAGCATTATGGGTTTTGTGCGTATGTCCATGTCGTATGTTACGCTTACGGTATGCGTGCGAGTTAGCCGTTACCCATCTAGTGCTTGCCTCGCACGTAACGGCTAGTTCCCCCTTCATTGTCGATTGCTGTGGTGATGGTAATAGTGCTGCCATTGGTTCAGTTCACCACCGACCGAAATCTCGCATATCTTCACGTGCACCGAATATATACAGAACGTTCTGAACCTACAAAGAGCGTAAAACTCTGCGCCCCTGGCCACGCTTGGCGTCATCTCAGCAATGGGCACAGCTGGCACAAGTTGATTCGGGTGCGGCTAGGGACCAACGAGGGTGCCGAGAGCTTGTGGACCATGCGCTCAATAAATCTCTGTGCTTGCCAGCGCGCTCACGACGTGCGGGATTAAAAACGTACTCCTCTGTACAAGCTGAGGTAGCCCTCTGCATCATATGTAGGAACGGACCGAGTGGTACTACGGAGGTCTCGCAGACTGAGGTCCCGCAGAAGGTTGTCGAAATGGACAGGAGCAAAGGTGAAAAGGCGCTGCTGTGTTAACGTGCGACAAGGTACGGTACTCAATAAACTAGACGTTCGCTGCGAACTAATTATAATTCAAGTTTAAAAGGAAGCTTTTTATCAAAATGCTGCTGGCTATAGGCATGACTGCGTCCGTGTGTGTGAGCGTGCGTGTCTGTGTCTCGCGTGCGGCGTCTGCCGCTGTGAAACGCTAAAAGTTTGGTTTGAATATGATTTTTCTAGGGTTTGATGAGCTTCTCGACAGAAAACGACGACGATGGTTAGACTAAGCTATTGTGGTAAGTGTCACTATATATTACACCCCTGTTAACAGCACAGTCTTCATGTTCCATGGAAAGTCCAAGAAAAACCGTGTAGCATAAGAAAATATATCAATGGCCTATTGTTGTTTTTCGGAGCAAACAATTATTGGATTAATCATATCACTTCTTTGAGCTGTATTACATATGCTTAGCATCCGTCTTTTGCGCCTACCTTCCTAGGAAGACATGTTTTGCATAACAAACATCCTATACAGTTAGCTTTATCGTTCCTTGCTATTTCTAGACCTTTCCGGTAAGGTGTCTTAAGTTGAAAACATTAAACAGCGCACTAGCTATATTAGAGCTATATCAACTGCAAAAATTACCTATTGCATGTAACAGTATTCGTCTCCGTAGCAGAGGATTCACGTTCGTTGTTACATCTGGATACTTTTAGCATCAACAGAGGCGCAAACGACTGTATAGGTTATGTTAGGAGATGTTGTTTAGCACAAATATGGCACGGTTCCTACATAAATTCTATGCCACTCACCTTGTAAGAACATGTAGTGATCTATACAGTGTGTCAACAAGCGGATAAGCTTCAATTGTGAGCGAGAGAACCTTTCAAAAAATCACAAACATGCATAATCCGAAAGCGTTTGTAACGTTCTTTAGTCTAAATATCTCCTATTGCTTTGTCAAAGTGATTTGGCCCACAAATCTGCATCCTGTAAAATCTAACCCGTTTTGAAAATCGGTGATCTTAGCAGCTTCTCTTCATCCCTTTGTTGGCACCAGTCACTCGTCGTAAATGAAAGCCAGACGATTGCTTTGTCCAGTAATAGCTCAATTACGAATCCTTTGCCCCGTGACGCGCCCGCTCCAATATAACCCGGTAAAATGCTCATTAAGCGTTAAAATCCTTTGTTGGGATAGAATAAAATTTGCCATGGAAATATACACAGCTATCCACACATGACATCTATTAGACATTTCCATAGAATAAAATGTCCTATGGGAACTCATGTCAATATGGAAGGTTCGTTGACGTTTGCTTCGTTTCCTCTTTAATTATATCGATCTCTGTGACTGTCATGATAAATTACTGTCTGAGCCCTTTGACTAACTGCAGCTAATTTTCTCTAATTGCTATACTTTTTCACAGAGATTAAACAAAAATTTGATGAGTTAGCTGTAGTAACAATATCAAGCCAATGGAGTCATGATTGATAAAGTATAAGTGTTAAAGAGATGCGTAGGCGTCACTCTCTCAGCAAATTTACTAATAGTTTCCACGAGTGTATGTCGATATATGAGCACAGCTATCTAATTAATAGCGAAAATCTTTACCGTACCGTTCGTTGGCTCATCCGTTACAAAACGTTGTCGGATAATTTGTATACTTAGCTTAGGTGCAGATTTTACGAGTATGATACCCGAATTCGTTTCAGGTCATATCGGTGGTAGGCGTGTGAAGACGTTTTGGTTTTTGCGCGTTCTATCACTCTCGCTTATCTTTCCGTTACCTAGTCCGGTGTCGTCGAACGTGCAGACAAAAATTACTCTGCTCAATTGCATTTCGCAGGAGCTGCCCGCCACCGTATCGCCTCGCTTTCAGGAATGTATAGAATCGGCGCGAACGTCAGGCACTGTCTACCGCTTTATAATTGTATGGCCAATATAATCATAATTATACCTTTGAAAGGACAGAGAAATTCAGTGAGTCGCGTCGGCTATCCGTAAAACATATAAAACCATGTCACCGCTGGCTGTAAAAGCTATGTATCATAGTCCGACCCGTCTGACTATACCGGCATTAATGGTTCTTTTTTAATCCTTAGCTTCGTTGAGCTCTGGCTGCTTTCTTAACTACATTCTCAGTTAAAACCGTATAAGCCTAGAAATAAGGTCGAAAAGCTAACGAAGTTCCCTCAATATTCGCCCTGGATTCCTGCGGCTCGTACGTATTGGGCCTGGGTGCGAGATATGCTTTCAGTGATCCGCTCAGATTCATTGGTCCGGGACGTTGTACAGCATAACGGCCCTGTATTGCGTGATCAGAATGTAGTAATAAAGCAGAAGTCGCTTTACAAGAAAATAAATATTATTATGATGGCTTAGTGAAGTTCTACGAAGTGCTTGTCTTTCGGTATCTCTTGATGCACTTGTTATTGATGTCCTGCGTTTTCATCAAGACAAATTATAATATTTCAAAACTGACATGTGAAGATTCGATAAACATAGATTTCTGCAACTACCATACCATAATAAAAATAATTATATATCGTTTGCGGACAGGGTTTCGAGTGCATCCTTCGACTCGCTAACGCGGTAAGTAAGGCTCGATTGATTTTCAAAATCATCGCATAGAGCGCAATATCATCAAGACGATAATGGCTATAGATCACGTAGCTGCACGTGCATAGTTTCCGACGATAGCAAGGCCATTGAGGACATATAATATACTTATCACTTCATTCATTATACAAGCCTCTCATCATCTGCACACTAGAATATCGCATGGTAAGGTCTAAAGATATGGATGAGTTTGAGAGTGTAGTTCATTACCTAGCATTCTAGGTATCACTGGTATTGTCGCTGTTATAATTATTCCGCTGTTTGTTTTGATGTACTTCACACAGCTCTACGAGACTGGCTAGGATAATTTATTTGGCGTATAGTTGCACTGAGCCAACCTAGGTTATTTTATTCATGTCCCTAAAAAAAAGGCTTGCCCGAAGGAAGGTTCTGTGGCGGATTTTGATCAGCCTTTAGTGGTCTGCGTTTGTCACAGATCGAAGCATTCCTGTAACTTAGTCCCTGAGGGCATATTACTCCATTTCCTGCAGGTCGTATTAACAGGAGCTTAAGGCTCACTTAAGCTGACTAATTCAAAATGTCTCTGTTGCCTAGACAACTACGGTCGAACTCTTCATTCAGTGGTAATTAAAGTCGTACTTTTATAAGCGACGATCTCGGGAATTGAAAAATCGTAAAATTTTATGTGCTTGTACACCTTCCGTTCCCCATGAGTAATTTTCTTCTGTGTAAATAGTGGAACCTCACGGTTCTGGAGCGCCCAGATTGACCAATATTACTTGTGACAATAGTGTCCAAATAAAGAGGATAGTAATATTATATAAATTGTTAGTAAAGATCTTGGTGTCTTCTCCTACAACCTTTTGGAGGTTTCGTAGATCCGACCGGACCGTAGCGTGAACGTGGGCACGCTATTTACGGCTGTGGGAGACTTTAAAGGAACACGGTTCGAGAAAGCAGCGTTAGAGTGTCAGGCCCCACTGCCCGCCATGAAGTTCACGATTTGTATGTTAGAACACTTCCGAAAGGTAATTTATTTCGTGCCCAACATACCATTGACTCTTAAAAATTTACGTTAACATTCGACATCTTATGAATTAACTTCTAGTGGGTTCCTTCTAATCTTTGATGACTGTCTTTTGGTTTCGCAATACAAGTTGCCCTGTAAAGAAATAAATATTAAGCTACATGTACTAAACACGTATGAGAAATATAACAATTTTAAAAAGTTCCCTTAGTTTACGCCATGTTTTTTAACACTGTCTACCGCCGTAGTCTAGGCGTCATCAGCGTGTAATTTTAAATAGGCTCTATTTCAACTGATGAGATGACATTGGCCGCAGTGTATGTTTATAGGGTCTGACGGTCACACATTGCGAAGTCAAGGGAGACGTCTCCAAGTTCCTATCTTACTGACTTTGCATATAAGAAAAATTACGAATTAAGGCACCTGATGAATTCTTCTAAATTATTTACGGGGAAGAAGTCAGTATCAATGGCGCGCGGCCAGCTACAAGTTAATCTAGAAACAAATTATTAGCCTCGTACGTAACATGTGTGCAAAACTCTTGCCCGCGTTCAAATGCTAAACCTGAGATCGAGCCCTGTTAAAGGTCAATGGACCTGAGCATTTAAAGCTGAGGTCGGTATGTCGTCAGACCATGTATCGTTCTACCCAAAAGCAGTCTTGCATTAAATCACGGTCTTTGTTAAAGCACTGGATAAATAAAAACTGGCCGCAGGGATCTTCGCTGCCAAACGAGCCTATCCCTACCGAGAGCGTCGAGTGCAAACTCTGCTAATGAAGTCCTAACACGCATATCGAGCAGAAACGTCATGTGAATGACGTCGTGTTCACTGGGTGCTGTATTTCTTACTGGGCAATTTGAAAACGATGAAGTCTCCATTTCGTCAGCAAAACTTCTTCTTTCATTTAAGACAATGAAAGCTACACTCCAGTAATATCTTATCCTTAGACATATCCTTAAGGTAAAAAAAAAGTCGACCTTACTCTCATTAATGACAAATGAAACAAGCATTCTAATAGGCCGGCCCCTGATGCTGAGCAGACGTCCAATCCAGAGAGTATATAGAAAAGTCAACGCTCTTATGCGATTATAGGCTGTATAGTGTAGGTGGCACGAGAAATTTGCCTATATGTAATCATAGTGAGCCGAATATTGCTAAATTATCAATAGAGAAATGAGTAAGTAGGACTCGCATCTATGGCATAATGCAAGAAGGGTCAGCTATGTGAAAAATAGTTTTCAATCAATCAATCAATCCAGTCGTCTTCAACCCCGCCACCGAACCCCCTTATCGTTCTGAGACTAAAATATGCCCCCTGATTTAATCACGTCGATCATGTTGATTTTTTTTATACAGATTAAATTCGATTTTATAGCCTGATCTTTTAAATTAGGTTTTAGCATACATCTATACTTATTTTTTCTTGTCTTATTAAATTGATAGCTCTGCAGGAACCGCATAAGAACTCATCGACCTTCGTTGAAGTCTGGATAACAAGGACCGATTTCGAACTCCACGGCTACAACTGGAACGCCGCCTAGAAAGAAGATGCAAATGGAGACTAGGGTAGGCTAACGGTCACAATGTGAAAAGTAAAAGTAAACGTTCGATTACCCTGTTCGTGGTCGGAATTCGATCAGTGATGAAGTGGGCAAATTGAAAATGCCATGCTAGTATAGCTAATGAGGTTCGTGCGTTATCGAAGCGAGTTAATCGTTGAACTATACGCATGTTACTAAGGATTTTTACATTGCTATAATTTGTTGCTAGATGAGTTAGTAGCTGCTTGTATAGGGAGAATGTGTAATGCACAATATAGTATTACATTAATCCTGGCCGACCAATCCAAGCAAAGAACGTAATTAAATAAGTCAAAGGACATCTATGGATATCAGCGACAATACTGAAATGTAACGGCATCTAGCTGGAAGCAACAATCTGGTTAGCTGCGACCGATAGCCCATTCGAAATATATCGTTACTAATACGCACCCTAGTAAGAGTCATGCACAGATACAGGGAATACCAAGGCCACCCTGAAAAACTACTATTCAATTGTTATGCACGGGCCCCAGTATTGAATAAATTATTTTGAAGCATATGATCATGTCAGTATGTTCTTTATCGTTGGTAATAAAGACGGGAGACGGGATTAAGACTTGAAGTTTAGCCACCTTAACGTAATTTGGCAAATACTAGGTTAAAATAGGATAGTGAATGATTAACTTTTGTTGCTTGGATAGATCAGGGGTTGCTCGACGTGCTCCTGCTGGATCAGCCCCACTAGCGTTGCCTCTGATCGCTAACCAACTGAAACACGTTAACGCTTATACTGTCCGTGACAAGTGTTATTCTAAACATTTGCCTAAAACGAAGGACGGTCGCCAGAACATACATTTCTGTTTGATATTTACGATTAGTGCATGAGAACCCGGCTAGCAGGAAAATTGTATTCAGCAAGTTGAAATTTCCGCGTCGTCTTTACTAAGATGCTGTACTTCGAGAAATATCTAAGTACGAGGCAGTACATCCGCAAGTGGCGATTGCTCGAATCATACCTTTGTAGATTTTCAAAAATATATTTAGCTTAAGCTACGAAATGACAGTTAGCCTTGCCATCTCATGATCGTCGTTTCTTCTGTCACGCATAGCAGTGGACCAGCCTTCATATCTTAATATGCAGGAGCCCAATAAGACTTTTCCTATCCAATATAGGTAGCTCTGTAAGGGTCGATGTCTTAGCTTTGCAAACCAACCTTTTTTTTCCGTTAGGTTTTGGCTTGCAGGCTATATTGTCCACACAGAGGCCCCATAGGGAGGCATGGGCCCCGCCACTGTACATTTTGGTAAGTCAATCATCTGGTTATGAGCACGTTACCTTCAAATGGCCTAAGGTGTGAAAGAAATATGATGCTTTACCACGTCACCCTCGAAAGCCAGCTAGTAACCTCTTACTAGGAGGTAGCTGATTTCTTTATTCACTATTTGTAGCCACGACCTCCTTGTAAGTCACCTGTCTCGTTGCTAGACATGCTCAAAAGGCCTTTACATAGGACGACGCGACGCTTTAAAGCCAAACGACGAAAACAACATTCCATACAAACATCGAGTCGGCGATAGCCCATAATTGTACTTTGCCATTAAGTGATCGCATCTGGTTTCTGCAACTCGACTTCAATTACCTATTTAGTACTGGTAAAACTCCTCTGTGCAAAACTTTATACTGTTCCATGGCCTCCTGTGTTCCTATGCTTCTTTGGAGGCTCTTAGCTTTTAAGTGTTTGTTCTATTCATTCTCGATTTTCATTTTCAGTATAGTATTGCGCGGTTGACGCCGTGATCAAGGCTATAAATCCTAATAGGCGGCCATCACTACGCGATATGCCAGAAAAATAATTTGTTCCTGTTTTGTTCGCATTCAGAAATTATACCATTAACTCGGTGTGTGCAGCTTCAGTTTCTGGGAGACGGTGACGAGGCTGGCGATTGTCGCCGTCGTAATGATGGGTCTATGCTAAATCGGCGAGACAGGAGGACCGGAAGCAGTGGTTGTGGCTGTGGCTAGAGAAAGGCCCGCGACGCGTGGATCAGTTATGACTACTGCCGCCGTTTGGCTTCGGCGCTTGTTTAACGTTAATTGGATTCAAGTGCACCCTTCCGTACAATATCGCCTATGAACAAGCAACTGGTACGCAGTGCTACGAGGCCTGTTTTGCATATGCATCTAATTCTGACGGAATAGTTGGAGTGAGAAAGTCCTGAGAGCACGCAACATGGCGATGCGTAAACAACGTCTCGACTTAGCTGCGCTTGGATTTTTTATGCAATATAGTATATAGTCGTTAGGTGTATACCGCCCCAGTTAGGTTAAGGTGGCTGCGTGCTAAAACATACTTGACAAACTATTGGATAAGCTCAGCTAGATCGATTACAGCCATTTTTACACTATATTACTTCTAATGGTTCTATAAATAAATGACAATCCCTAATTGATTCGCGCTCAAGGAAACTGAGACAGTCTAAAAATGATGTGCTTAAGAGAATCTACCTCGACACATTCTAGTCTTAGCAAGCCATCCGAAACACCCTGAACCCTTTCAGTTTAAGACACTCTATGAAACACACGTCTATGATTCTGTATTTAGTTCGACGGCGCGGGCTCGCACAACGAGTCCCGTCACTAACGTATTCGTCGGAAATAGATATCTGTTCTATTACAAATGAGAGTGGTTGAAGCCTTTATTTATACGAATCTCTCTTCAACCGTTTCTCTCGGTTGGAATGATCGTTTTGGGCTTTTGGGTCTATTGTGCAGTTTTTGCTGAAATGTTAGATTCGTGCTGATAGATCTACCCAAAATGCTAGATTACATTCAACAATGTCCCATCACAGCGTTAATATCAATATCAATAATGATGAATGATAAGTGATCAACACAAATACGTTCTATGTACGTTAAGTTGCGAACTTTGCTATAGCACCACTGTACGCGAAGTCGCCATTACTAGGTTACTGATAAGAGTACAGCAGTCATCTGCTAATAAATCTGAATTGTGTTTTATTATTGATTAGGTATTATCTAAACAAATATGATTGTAGGGCAAGGGTATTTTGAAGGACGTATCGTAATCTGCCTGATATCACAGATTCGAACGACTTTGTGCAATTCACCTAATGAAGACAACATGATCGACCAACGAGGACCTAATGGACATGATCCATGAAGATATCACTGGCCAACCGAACTAGGCTTCAGCTGGTGAGATTTTGAAGAATTCTAAGAAATGAACGCATAAATATAAGCACTGCGTTGCTAAAAACGTTGTCAAGCATCTGAAAATGATGTATTGTGTGATGCTGTACGAGTAGAATCTGGGGGAAGCGACCTTCAGGCTAACCGACACGAGTTCTTGTAGGACTAGGCCATTTCGATGTTAAGTATTCTTCTTACACCGTTTAGCATTAGCACTCGAATATCCGAGCCGTTCAACTAGCGGAATTTGTTGTTAACCTACTTAAGTGGCCTAAAGGCGATCCTTGTATGGATATATGTATGGAGACCATATATGGATCCTGCTTACTTTTTCGGAGTTTGGATGTAACTGTTACGTAAACGCTACCAGAATGCCAGTAATGCCGGAAAACGCATACGAACTTTGCGGAGTTGCAAAACTAGATGTGAAAATAATAACTTGTATTATATTGTCCTTAGTTCTGAAGATCTTGGAAGCTCAGAAAGATTTCAGGCTAAGGGTTGAGGGCGAAGGATCGCCTTCAAGATAATTTACTTTTTAGAAAATTCAGTGTCACCAGTCGTCCTTGAATATAATGAAATATCAATCAATTATCACAGCGTATGTTCCTTGCCGTAATTTGGTAGGTCGCGCGATCTCGAACAGCGATGCAGTCTGTAGCCTAGTTAACTGGTGAATCTCGGTACACCCTTCTTTTCCCTTCTTTAATGATATTATCCGCGAGGAAGCTTCATACTCGTTACGAAAGCAGTGTTTCGTGGTTAAAAATTACGTACCGTCTCGTTATTGCCAGGTAAACTTGCACATGATTTGATTTAGTAATAAACAAGTACGCTATAAGCTGACTATTCAAGTCAATCGCTTTCTTCCCGAATAAATCTGGCTGTTCAATGATGCTTAAAATAGCACCTTTATTTTGGACGTTCCGATGCTCGCCAGTCGAAGGTCAAATGCGTAAACCTGATGGCCGACATTCTATTATATAGCGGACACATTTGGCTCAATTTTCGGAGGTGGATGGCGTTAGGGGTATCTAAAACTGAATGGGTCATTGAGCTACATACTCGAACAATGGAGGCTTGACCAAACAAACAAAACGTTGCCTCCCCTCAACGTTTCGTTCGATGACTATTGTTAAAATATGGGGTTTGGCATATTTCATTAACTGCACGCTGAGCTTTGTTTACGACCGTTTTGAAATAAGCACGCTAAAATGCACATGGACTTTAAAATTTGGTACTTTCCGTTGTGCGTCAGCCTTCACTATTCAGAACGATTGACTCAAGAGGCGAGTCGCATTTATTGTGCTCAGTATAGTCGAAGAGAGGCTCATACTGATTAAAATGTTCCATTTTCCCCATTCAAACGCTTCTCGAAAATGGCTGGATCGTTTTTATGACTGGCTTCTGTGGCTTCCCCAATAACAGACATTCAACGGTGCTCATACGGAGACGCACAACATAAGCCTGTATAAACGCTGAATTTAAACGATATATTGCAGACGTGTCTCAGCTGTTGTAGCGTGAGTCTGTTTCTGTTAGTAGACGCTCGTATTCTTTCAGTGTTCAAAATGAGTTGCGTTTATGCAAATAGCATTGTTTACGTAATACACCAAGCCATTATGAAATCAACGGGATATGCCAGCAAACAATGCATTTTCGTGAGGCGTTTAAGTTATCTAAATAATAACAAATAGCTTTGAAAGTGGACATATGTTCATGGTGTCATTTTTTTTTTTAAATTTTGTTTCCGATTAAAAAGGAGACAATTATTGCCGATGTGGCAACAGCTGTTCCCGTTCTGTTTGGTACTGTATCGTATACAATGATAACATGCGTTACAATTAGAGAGACAATCCGGAGAGTTGGCTTTATTTGAAACTGATTCAAATCTCTTAATAGCTTGCATGCTATTTAGTTAGTTTAAGTATGACTTTTAATCAGCACACAGACGGAAAATGAGTCTCAATTTAACCCTCTTTTAAGTCTACTAGCGACTGTTTCTGTTCTCAGAAAGAACAATTCGAAGACAAACGGTGTCTTGTTAGTAGTTGTAGCAGTTCCGGTTGTGCGACGATACCTGTTTTGCCACTGGTGAATTCAACGGGCGTTATTTTTCTGAAGATCTTTATCGGTCGACTCATCTAATGTAACTTTACAGCGTTTCATTCGTAGCGCGGCTTTTTGTCTTTTGCAGGGCCGCGGCATCAATACACTCGTCTCTGGCCTAAGTTGAATGTTGACGATTCGCGCTCCCTAACGCCCTTAGCGAGCCGTTATGGAAAG